TTAGAGCAGTGGAGGTGAGAATGGAGATGATATTACCATTCCCAGGACTGCCAACGGAGAGCAATGGGGCTGGGAAGGGTGTTAGGAGGTCAGAAGGGCTGTTCCCTTTATTCAGAAGGGAAGTTCAGATACAGCCATGCCATGTGTCACCTGGCAGATAGGATGTTCAAACACCGTTAAAGACCTTCTGTGATGAAGAGGCCACAGCCTTTCCAGCTAGTTTGTTCCAACCAGATTCCTGGCAGTAATCACACCCACTGCTGTTTCCCCCATCCGCTATGGATGTGAAGACAAGATTATTCCCTTCTCTGTTACTGCCTGCTATTGTTACTTTTAAACCCACGCTTCTGCAGATATACCACACTTATGTGGGACCAGATGGCCTTTAGGGATCCCTTCCAACTCAAGCCATTCAGTGCCTCTATGACCCGTGTGCGTATGTACCTGTATTTTGGTTATCAACACATCTTGTTACCAGGGCTGCCATGAGCCTGAAAGTGCTTCCAACGTATAAAAGAGCTGCTGGGAGTTGGGTTGTGACAGGAACACATCCATCCCTTCACTTACGCCCCGAGCTCTTTGGCATTCTGGTCCATTCTGGGCAGCCTGGTCTGGTGGTCATTGACCCTGCACATAGCGGGGTGTTGAAATGAGATGATCATTGTGGTCCTTTTCAACCCAGCCCATTCTGTCATTCTGTCAGTCTATCATTCTGCCATTCTATCATTCTATCATTCTACCATTCTATCATTCTACCATTCTATCATTCTATCATTCTATCATTCCATCATTCTACCATTCTATCATTCTATCATTCTATCATTCTATCATTCTATGACTTCTATTTTTTCCCAAGAAATTTGCCAACCCCTGCAACATAAGACCACGGGTTGCAGATGGGGATGCGATCAGGAAAGGGCCATCAAGGCGCACAGGGCACTTTTCTGCTTCTTTCCTTCATATATTTGTGAGCCAAACCCATTCTCATCCTCCTGTAGAACATCCCTGGGGTTGCTATTATTTCCACCCCCTTCTGCTGAGGTCTCCTCCAGTGCTGGGACCTGGGGAAGATGGCTGGGTATTGACATGCATCGATTTGGGCCATGATGGCTGGCTGTGATGTTCACAGGCTCAGGCTCAGAGCATCACTGTTGGGGTTACAGGAGCTCCTGTGCTGCTGCTGCTCTGGGGATTATGGGTTGCATTTAAGCATAAAGTGCTCGGCAGTTCTTGGAAGCGAGGAGCCCAGCAGGATTTGTAGGTAATGCCATGGCCTCATAGAAAACACAGCCCTGAGAAAACCTTAACCCTCATTCCTTTGCCTGAGGGACATGGGGTAAGTTGGTTGAGGGCACAACGTGCTGAGATCGGGTCTGTGCAGGGGAGATCTGGGGCCGGGGGGTAAAATGAGGTGCTGAGCTGAAAGGATCCTCTTTTCAGAAGGGGGAAGTTAAGCACTTTGTAAACACTTCTGAGAATCCTGACCTCACGTATCTCTCTGCTGGAAGACTCCTATAGCTGTGTGCACGCTCCTGGAGCATGGGGCTGTTCTCTGAGTTCAAAGTACTCCGTGATGTGGAGCTGAATTCCTCCAGCAGCCACACGTACCCTTGGCCATGAGGCTGTTTGCAGCCAGCTGCCGTTCTGTCCTTGCAAACACTCGTATGGAGGTGAAGATAAAAGTACTGCTTGCTTGCATTTGTTCCTTTTCAATTCTAGGTGATCAAAACAGCCCAGAGCACTGCCTTCCCTGGGGACCAGCCATGCTTCCATCTTTGTGCAAGCACTTTTTGCTGGGTGTGTGTATATATTATTGTTCTGTGCATGTGTGATTTTCTGCTCGTGCACAGTTTTCTGCATATGTGCTTTCAGCACGTGCATTTTCAGTCTGTAAGTCCCAGTTCATACTAAGCTGCTCATCACAAACACTTGGCCTGCTTTTGGTTCCATATTATCAACATCACCCAGTCCAGTAAATTGCAAACCCATTTATCTCAGAGCCGTTGCTTTGTACTCCACATCCAAAACGTTGGCTCGTGACAAGCTGCTGTTACAGAGCTTTCCCCTACTGATGAAGGTGTGCTTCCCACTGAAGGTCTTGTGTGATCTGGAGTGTGGGACCCCCACGTGCCCTGCTTTAGCAGGTTGCTAGCATGGAATTAGATGGCTCAGTGCCTCCGAGCCATTCAGAGCCAGCTGGGGATGGACGTATCCAGGATTCAGGTTGGGTATTAAGAACATATCCTTCTCCAAAGAGCAGTCAGGCACAGGCACAGCTGCCCAGGGAGTGGGGGGTCACCATCCCTGGGAGTGTTCCAGAATGATGGGGATGTGGCACTGAGAGATAGTGGGCAGTGGGCATGGTGGGGTGGGTTGGGGTTGGGGATCTGAGAGGTCCTTTCCAGCCTTAATGTCTCTAGGATCTACGAGTGAGAATGGTGGTGATGGGCTGACCGTTGGACTTGATCTTGGATGGTCTTTTTCCAGCCTGTAGGTATGATCCTATGAGTGGACATGGTGGGCATGGGTTGATGGTTGGACTCAATATTGGAGGTTTTTTCCAACCTTTGTGAATCTGTCATTCTACGATTCTAAGGGTGGTCGCAGTGCGATGGGTTGGGGTTGGATTTGGGGATCTTAGATGTCTTTTCCAGCCTTAAGGATTCAATGAATCAACCATTCTGTGACATGGCCAAAGCCAGGAGAAGACAGAGGCTTAAAAATGAATCAGACGTCCCCAATATGGAGCACGTGGGTCGCTGCAGGTTGTTTCTCTGATGGTCATCATAACCTGAACGAGGCAGCTGCCAAAACCCCGTCTTAGACCGATCCTGAGAGATACCCAAGAGGTCCCCAAATGCTCACCCAAGCTGTCACCCCAAAATGAGGTGCATTTAAAGCCAGAGCAACACAGCGTGCTTGACTGCAGCACTTCCACTGCCCCCTCTGCTGCTGCCTCTTGGTTGGTCTCTAAGTGCTTTGAAAACAAAGTGATGGGTTTCAAATGCTTTTGGAGTTTTATTTCCCTTCTTGGAAAGGAAATGCTGTGTGGTGGAGAGGAGGGATGTTTAACATGCCACGTTTGGGGACTTCACTGAGATAAAAGCAGGAAGTCTTTCAGTGCAAAACCACCATTTTTCCCCCCTTTTTTTTTTGGCTACACCAAGAGAACTTCCAGCCCCATTCTGGGGCCAGCGTGGAAGAGCTGCAGAAGGACAAGCCGTGTTTTGCTTGGCTTTCCTCCTCTTGGGGAATCAGTCCGTATTTCGTATTCATCACTTGCCAGAGGTTTTCTTTTGAGCCTCATGATCTGAACCTGCTAAGTAAGGCAAATCCAGATTAGAGCCTCTCGCAACAGAAATACTGGAGAGATCAGAGGGAGCTGGATGGAGGCAGGTGAGGAGCACCAACTCACTGCACTCCTAAATGTCACCATATTTTCTCATTCGGGGTTGCTGTAGAAGCCCCAGAAGGCTGAGATTTATTACTCTGACCATATTCAATCTGCAGGGGAGGCACTGAGTGGAGCACTTCTCTTGGGCTCATTTCTCAAATCAAAGCAGGAAGAGGGAGTGGAATTGCTGCAATTAAACGTGCTCTGTTTCTTCGGGTTTATTTTGGGGTGACAGCTTGGGTGGCCCTCTGTGCCTCAAACGGAGCCCATCCTGAGCTGCAGGGCCCAAACTCAAACATAGCTGCAGTCTGGGAGGGCTCTGACTGACCCGAGCTCTTGGCTTTCCTTGCTGTTTATCTTGTCTTGTGTTGGAGGAGTTTTAATCCTCCAGACATGTGCCAAAATAGCACAAAAGCTTCTTGTCTTACGGCACTTTGCTCAGAGGCTGCTCTGGTCCTTCAAGAAGTCGAGACCCTGCACTGCTCCGAGCCCCCAGGACGGCTCCAAGCAGCAAGGATGCCTGTGAATTATTATTCTCCATGTGATATTTAACACAAGCCTCAGCCACTGGCCTCTCCTGGGCTGTGGAGGTCCCTGAGGAATCAAGGACACGTTCCAGCCTTGGAGATAAAACTGACCTCAAGCGAAGCCAATTATATATAGCCAATGCCCTTCTCTGACCCTTCTCCTCCAGCTCTGTGGTTTGCTGGCTTGGGGTCTCGTGTGTCTCCCACTGCCCCATGAGCCCTCCGACAGCTCCAGTGTCCTTTTCCCCATTCCCTCTTGTGACATTATCCCAGTTACCCATTTTCTGCTTTTTCTATCAGCAGGGGTGGTATAACTGGCTGGGAAGGTGCTGGACCGTCCCATCTCTCACATAGGTGCTTCTCTGGCATCAGAGGCATCACATAGGTGGATCCATGGGGAAGAGATGGACAGTGGGGGATTCCATCCTTTACTGTGACTGTTCCATCGGGCTGGGGCAAGGTCATGCCACTTCTACAGATGCAGCCCTTCCTGCCTGCCCATACCTGCGATCCTTTTCCCTGCCATGAACGACAGTTCACACCCTGCTTCCTCCCCATTTCCTCCATCTCCACAATATCACCATCCAAACCCCCATCCAACATCTTCCCAAATCCAACAGTCACTCAATCCACTCCAACCACCCATCCAACATCTCCCCAAATCCCTCAAGCACAGGTAATTCCCCGCCCCACCCCCCCTTCCTTTCCCATTGCGTTGAGATCCCAGCTCCTCATCCCTGCCCCCAGAGCCCTCTCCCATCCCCATAGCACCCATCTGTATCCTCAGGAACATCCCCATCACTCTCCTCCAGCACCAACACCTGCCAGGCTTCTTGCAGAAGTCACAGCAGCATTGATGACAGAAGGACCAGCGCCAGGCAAGGCAGAGGAAAGGACAGGAAAGAAAAATAATGCTTGGGTGCTGACAAACAGCAAAAGAAAACAGCAAAAAAAAAAAAAAAAATAAGGGAGAGAATTACTGCTGTTTTTCTAGTGCATAAATCTTCTCCTGCTCAGGCACCTCTGCCCTTAATTAAGGACAAAAGAAAAAAATCTGTTAATAGAAAACAAGCAAGAAATCATAGCAGGTGACCTGCTTTATTTGCCTGGATTAAGTGGGGGATTACAGGAACGGGTAGCGATGTCAATAAGGGCTCTGGACAAATTTTTCCTATTGCTGCTGGTTTTCTGGGAACAGGAGGGATGTGCAGCTGGTCATTCGGGTGGATAACTTCACTGAGGCTGAAGCAGGGAGAAGGTGAAGATCAAAAACCCCACAGTGGTGGTCCTGGCATCACTGGCTCGGGAGCAGAGCTGTGCGTTCAGCTCGTTAAATGCAATTCTGACAGTAGCACAAATCCTGGGATCTCTGACAGCTCCTTGCAGGTGGGAAGGAGAGAGAGAAATGAAGGGAGAGAGGAGATGTGATTGTATAAGGGCTCTCTGAGGGTAAAATAAAGCTGATCTGAGCAGATGGCTTCCTGCCACCTAAAACTTCCACGCTGCAAAATCCCATTAAGCGCAGAGTTTAATAAAGTTCTGGATATCAAGGAGCAGCAGCTATTTAAAGCCTTGAGCACCTGCCAAACGTGGCTTTGTGAGCCACGTTTCCTGTCCCAGGTCATTTCTCCCATCTCCTGGCCATGCTCTCACCTTAGGAAATGCCATCATTTGTGACACGAGGTCTCAGTGCTGGTGCTGCTGTGGCATTCTAATGGGGGTCTGAGGTTCCTTATAAGCAGCCTCACACAAGAAGTGATTTTCCCAGCCAAGGTCTTTATATCCTATCAGATATCTTTGAGGAATCGGCTTTTTGCAGCACAAACTTTACCCAGCTAGCCTGGGAAAATGAAACTTGAACTAAATGCAAAGGAAACCATAATTCATGTCTGCCTGGAAATATCTTGAGCAGCCGGCATGGAAACCAGCTGGGAGGTGGGAGCTTTGTGCTGGGGAGTTCCAGTGGTGTGGGGTCAGTCAGGTGGGATCTTGTTGGCTTGTTATCTTCTATGTGTGCTACAGGGAGGAGTGATGGAAACGCTGGGAGAACCAAGTCCTTCTCCCCACACTGTGTGGACCATGAATTACCCACACATGAAGCGAAACAATCCCAGAGACAGGGAAAACTTGAAGCTTGATGTCCACAATTCCACCTTCCACAAGCTGCTCTACATAAATTCGAGGTGCCTGTCTTCTGGGACATTGTATTTGGCTTTGTGTTCCTCAAAGAGCTTTCTCAGCTCTTCTAAGTATTTCTGATGGAGTCGATCAACCTCTTCGGCCGATGGTTTGTGCTTCTTCAGCACGGGAATTGGCTTCCCAACTGGAAAACAAGAGCAACCATTAGGTCAGGTCTCCATGGACCTGCACGTGTTAAGCACAGAGATGGAGTCCCACCTTTCCAAAGGTGTGAAGGACGTATTGGTATGAGCAGTCATGGTCTGGGAGACAGCATAGCCAAGGAGGTGGGGAGATGGAGGTCCAGCCCAGTGCAGCTCCTACAGCTTCTCTTAATATCTCAGGTGCTTTTTTCAAGACAAATCCACATAATTTGATTCCAGCCCCTTCCCATCTCCCAGAGCCACCAGCAGTAGGACACTTCTCCTGCTCTGCCCCCTGACTCTAATTGTGTTTGTCAAGCTCAGCATTGTGTAACACTGTTCCTCATCGAACTAATGAGGAGCCCTTCTGATACTGTGCTGCTTGTAAAACCATTGAGTCAATCCAAACAGGCTGTAAAACAATTAGAAGTAATTGCTGCCTGTCAAACCTAATCAGCAGGGTGAGCCCTGACCTTTCCAAACAGCCTCTTTAATTGCATTAATTCAGGCCATCAGCCGTACTGTGGGCCAAGCGTGGAGCTGTTGAAACCAGGTGGAACTTCATCACAACCAACACCTTTCTTTAAATTTGGTCTCCTGTTGTGCATGGTCTTCAATGAAACCAGCCTGGCTTGTTTGTGTACAGATAGGTTGGGGCTTGTGCCTGCATCTGGGATGCTGGGCAAATCCTGTCTGACTTATGCTTGTGGGATTGGCTTGGAAGCTCAACCTGATGCCATTACAGGGTTTTGTACGACTTGGTTCTGGTGGGACTGAGACTGGATGTGTCTCATGAAGGCGATGGAGCATCTCGACTTGCTCTGGGGCTTTCTCAGCACTATTCAGACCACTTGGGTTCTGCAGGATGACAAAGCCAGAGCTCCAGACTGGTGTATGCAGGGAACCCTGTGTTATCCTTTCTCTGTGCCAACCCAAAGGTGCTCCAGTACCACATTCAGCTGGGTGACACATCACAGCTTCCAGAGCTGCCTGGACACTCAGGCAGTCATACCCAATTGTGTTGTTAACTTTTTTCCTTCCATCTACAGATGGGGAATTTTTTCTATCTTAAGGAAACATATCCCAGAATCAAGGACCACTTAAAAAAAAACTTTTTTTAAGCAAAAAAAGGACCACGAGAGGGGCAGGTGAGCAGTGGGAGGTGCTTCATTGCCAGCAAGTTTCCAGCCCATGCTCCTTGCTCCTTGGCTCAGCAGAAAGAAGACACGGCCCAGGGGCCATCCTTGACCAGGCTTTGGCCAGGCTTTTGTTGAGGAGGGACTTACTCACGGTGTTGATGGGCCGGCGGTAGGGGACCACCCCAAAGCTGTACTGGAAGATACCTCTTGCGTGGAAGAGGGGCAGGGAGATGCCCATGATCTGCTGGAGCCGGTGCTGGATCCACCGCAGCCATGAGCCCTTGGGGTTGCTCAACTGGTCGTAGAGCTCATTCTCCCCAAAGGAAAAGGCAGGGACCAGTGGGGTGCTGCAGGGAGATGAACACAACGTGTGGCCACGTCGATCAGTAAGGCCAACCCCAAAGCACCCTCACAGTCCCCAAGAATTCACCTGGAACATCCTATCGACCAGAGCATCCCTCCCCAGCCACCCTGTAGCCCCATCCTTTGCATCACCCCTGCTTGATGGCCACGCGGACAAATCCCTTCCTGTTCTTCAGCAGCAAGGTGCAGGATCCTGGCCGGGCATCCAGAGCCTCCTGAGACCCACCGACGATGACAGCCAGCAGGTTCCCCCCCTCTGGCTTCTGCAGTACATGGTACGCGCTCTCCTTGTCAGAGGACACAAGGCCTGGGAGGTAGAGAGGAATTAACACTGAGCATCTGTAAAACCTGCCAAGTGAGGCTTATTCCCATTTTCCTTCTTCATCCAGCTCAAGAGAGGTGCTCAATGCTTTATTTTCAGTTTTCCAGCGTTCTGGAAATCTCAACCCAACTCCTCAGGGTGATGCAGGGCTCATGCAAAGCTCTGCCACATCACAACACTGCAGTTAAGCCCCAGCCACCCCATGGGCTGATTCAGATAGAGAAGTGGGTGAACTCCAAGCCCACCAGTGAGAGACAGAGGCCAGACCTCCACAGGTCTCTCTGGAGCCCTTTCCCCCCTCTCCATTTAATTTTTACCTCCTCCTTTTCCTTTTTGTTTCCTGTCCTGTCATGTATTGCACAACACCATGAACTACCTTTGGTAGCTGCACTGTTTCAGAATCCAGCACCTATAGATGCCACTCACGAAGGACTCCTTGACCTTCTCAGGCCTCCCCGATGCTTCCCCTCTTTGCTCCCTAAAAACCATTTGATTCACCCTCTCATCCCGCCGCTCATCAGCGCTGCCACCCCGCTTACCTGCGCTCATCAGGTAGTCCCGTAAGAAGGGGACACGGAACCACAAGGAGAGAGTCATCAGGTGTGGGGTGATGCCTGGGAAGATGGTGGAAAACCCTGTCGCCTCTGTGCCGAAATTGATGAAGGCTCCCACCGCCAGCACCCCGTGGGGGTGAAATCCCACCAAGTAGTTCTGCCTAGGGTCCAACTCCGCTGTTTTCACCAGCTGGACAAGAGGTGGGACAAGAGTCAGTGCCGTCACCTCAGCGCATGGGGAGTGGGCTATGGAGAGCAGGGGGGTTCCCTTGCAGCCATCCCTCCTTCTGCTGGGAAAGATCAACTGCAAGAGCTCAAACGTTGTTCACTCACTGAGATGTATTTCATTGCCTGTTTCTGTATCTCCCTCCATTTCTTGGCCTGAAAATGACATCTCTAATGCTACAGATCTTCATTGTTCTTTATGCTTTATTCTTTATTCATCTTGTGGATGCCCCATCCCTGCAGGTATTCAAGGCCAGGCTGGATGTGGCTCTGGGCAGCCTGGGCTGCTGGTTGGCGACCTGCACACAGCAGGGCTTGGAGCTGGATGAGCACTGTGCTCCTTTGCAACCCAGGCCGTTCTATGATTCTCTGATTCTATGATTTATAGTCATGCAATGGGATGGGTCCAACCCCACTAACATGGACAGGGACACCTTCCACTAGATCAGATTTCCCAAAGCCCATATTGCTTTCAGCTGGTCTACATGTTGTTAGGAAACAACTTTTAAAACCTCCTCCAGTACATTTTACACTATAGGAAAAAAAAAAAAAAAGCAAAAAAATGAGATAATTTAGCCTCTTATAACCACCACAGCCAGAGCCACCCTGGTAGTGATTGTCCTGTCCTGGAACACATCAAGTAATTGAAGAATGCTTAGTATATCATTAGGTGAGAACCTCAGCTTCCAAGGACAAAAAATGATGCATTTCTTTACATTATGGACTACCCTACAACAGGCCAGCAGCTTGAGCCTGTGTTAGTAGTTACCTAAAGAAACATGCAGGTCCATCAGGGAGCGATGGATGTCTGCCCAAGGTTGTTGCAATTTTACCAAGGAGTGAGAAATCATAAAATCATTACAGTTGGAAAAGACCAATAAGACCAACCATCTTGTCTGACTGTCAGCACACCACCACCATGCCCACTGACCATGTTCAGCCTTCAGGGCTGGACAGCATGGATTGCAGCACATGGTTGGCCCTTGAGGGTTGGCTGAGGGGCAAGCCAAAAATCTCAGCCACTTTTGAAAAGTGAGAAGCATTGTTTGGGTGGCCCAACAGGAGAGGAGACATAACAGACAAGATTTGGCCTCTGTGGGTTACACTTGTGATGGCCCACCTGGAATGGAAGGATCAGTGTGACAAGTCAGCCTTGAGCTGTGCCACTGAGGAGATCCTGCAATCACAACGTCTACAGACAGGGCATAACCCTGCCAGAAGCATCCAACAGCTGATGCTGATGTCTTTGCAACCCTTAAATCGGTGCTGAGGATGCTCTCAGCCTCAGGGCTGCCCATTACAAAGCCATCATGGATTTCCAGACAGCTCAAAGCAGTTCTGTACGAGGAGAAACAAAGCCCCTGGTGCTTCACCCCATCAGTGCCTGAGTGCCCCGCTTCTGTCCAAGTGCAGGGAGCAGCTAATGGGGCATTTGTTTTCCTAGAAGCACCCAGAGCCCTGAGTTCTACTTTACTTTCTGACATCATGGCTCATTTCCCACCTGTCCTAAAGCACTGTTGACTGTACACATGTGCCCATTCAAGCGCCTGCTCCTAATGAGAGGAAGAGACAAACAAAAGTCCCCATCACCACCCAAGTGCAGGAAGAGGGGCAGATGGCTGAACTGCTGAGCCCCTCTCACGATTTGCTCTGTTTTTGAGCAATCTCAGCTTGCATCAATGTAACCTGCATTTATCTTCAGTTTCCAAACAACCTTTCATCTCTGAATAATTTATAAGCAGGGTGAGATGCTGGGATGCGTCACAAGCCACTAAATCTCCTCAAGTGTGAGAAGGGAGGGTGGCAGCAGCCTGAGAACCTGGCTGCACCCCGTGGTTGTGCCACCCTCCTTGCTAATGAAAACTGGACTTGGGCAAGCACCCAGCCCTGCAATCTGCTCCCAGCCATGCTAGGACACCTCCCATCCCTAAAAACCTTCCCTAGGAGATGCTGCTTGCTGCTCACCTCAGTGAAAGGGGATGGAAAATCAGTGTCCAGTGGAGCTTACAGGAGGAACTGCTTCTGATACACGATTCCTTGTACATCTAAGTGGCCTCAGAGCCACTAACATCTGGAGGCCTACCAATTGTAGTTGGGTCTGAATTGGGCCACATCCATGTGTTTTGTGGCTCAATCATGAGTTAAGTATCCAGAGCCCTGCTTTAAGCCGAGGATAACTTTTCTGAAAGTGTGCTCAGGTGCTCGAATGGGCTGCCCAGGGAGGTGGTGGAGTCACCGACCCCTGAGGAGTCCAAGGAACGTTTGGACGTTGTGTTGAGGGATATGGTTTAGTGAGAACCATTGGTGATGGGTGGATGGTCTGACTGGATGATCTGGTAGGTTTTTTCCAACCTTGGTGATTCTATGTTCTATAACAACTGGATGGTAGGAGCCCTGATGTTCAAGGTTTGATGGCCTGGTCAAGGTGGAACTGTCTCCTGCAGCAGCAATCACATCTTAATGACATTGTTGAAGTATTTGCCTCTTTCAGCTTTGCAAAGGAAGGGAGAGAGGGTCCCTGTCTTTGTCACAGGGCTCACGATTTGGCCAGAGCCTATAGAGAAACCATTTCTTTGCAAAAGACCAGGAAGGAAGTCTGTAGCAGAGAAGAAACTTGGGTAAATTATCTTAAGCCATAGCTCAGTCTCTGGATGCTAAACCACCCGAACACTCGAACACAGCAACTCCATCCATCCATCTGGGTTGCCCCCGCTGTTTGTTCTCTCCTTCCCCTCCTCCTGGCAGAGTCTGCACAGCAAGCTGTTCCCAGGCAGCCAGGAAAGTTAACAGCTGGCAGCACCCAGCCCAGGCTCCGCGCACTGCAGCCCCGCAGTGCGTCATGGGGTTGATGTGCAAGGGGTGGATCTCGTTCCTCCTGGCTTGACTGGGTTGTCACCTCTGCTCCTGCTGAAGGGCATCTACTGCTCTGCTTTTTCTGGGCGAGTTGAACTTTAATCATTGTCAAAGGACTTGAGGGTCCAGCCAAGCCGGTCTGTGTGTAAACACTGAAGGGAGACAAATTCTTGTCCTGAAGTTTTTCTTGGTAAGGCAAGACGAGTTTCTCAAGTTACAGGGGTGACAAATTAATGCACGGGACCTTCATCCCCAAAACAGAGAACTCTTATCAGCTTGGGGTCATGCACTCCAAGCTGAGCCATGGGTGTGTTGGCTTGAATGGCTTCCCCTTGTCGTGGCTGGGATGCTGGCTTGTGTCTTGTCTGCTGACAGCAGCCCTGACCCCTTGTCAGTGTGTTGTGAGTCCTGGTGGCGGGGCAGAAAGCCATTTAGATCCCAGATAGGGGGTTATCATGGCCCTCCCAGCTCATAAATTTGAACTTGAAGGGTGAGGTCTACTTTATTCTTTCTTGGATGTAATTGCTGCAGATTTCAGTGCTCTTGATTGTATTATTGACTGTAAAAGCTCCCCCTATTTATCTACCTAAAAGCAGGTCCAGAACATGGGAAAGATCCTGTCCCCCATCTCTGGTGAGATTTGCTCCATACATGGTCACCATCCATGTTAGGGAAATGCACACACAGACTTTTAGGGGCTCTAATAAGAGACCATGTACTGGTGAGGATCTCAAGCAAATTCAGTTTTAAACTGAATTAGCTAAACCACATTAGCATCACAAGTAGATGCTCTCAGCTGGAATTAAAGTGGCCTTCATTTGTTATTTGTTTTGTTTTTCATTTCATTTTGCAACTGAATTAAGTTAATTGGGGCTTCCAAGGGACTGTATCAGCACAGGATTTCAGCACTGGTTTAATGAGGCTGTTTTAATTCACCTTTTGAGATGTGGCTGGGGTTCTTGGTTATCACATGTGTGCTGGACGGTCTTGCCCCAAACTATAGGAAAAAGGAGGAAGGGTGATTGTCCATGTGAAACTGGTGCAAAAGTGCTCGAAGGAAGCAAAATTCTGTTATACATCAGCATATCCTTGGGTCAGATCAACACCTAGCCCCCAGCTGGCCTTGTCTGTAGGGCTGGAGAGATCTAAAAGCAGTTATGTGGCAAAATAGATGGAATCAGGTAGAGGTGAGCTTGGTCAATGCACAGTGCTTGCTGTGCCAGCAGACAGACGGGCGGACTCGCCATGTCATCACATCCTAAGGGACAGAGAAACATGTGGTGGAGACAGGGATTGGCCAGGGAAGCTGGTCAGAAAACCTGTACTTTGTTCATTTAGTCTCCCAAACTGAATTGCTATTGTGTTCCTATCACCCTCTGGCCCCAAACTCACTTCCAATGATGTTATGCTCAATAGTCTGCTCTTAAGTAGGATAAACTTCTGTTCAGTTTCACCCTAAGCAGATCCTCAGGTCCCTTGCTTTCCACCCAAGCACCACCAAATTGCATCTCATGCAGGAAGAAGCATGCAGTCAGGTCCTCTATGGGATGACAGCAACCAAGGAGCAAGCCCCAGGAAGAAGAAATGGTACCAAAGAGAAGTCAGCACATCACCTAAGGGTGGTGGGAGAAAAAGGGAAAAGCAAACATCCGAGTGCCAGCAGCTCCTCAGGAAAAATGGGTTTCTGTTCTCAGCAATGGAAGGAGCCTGAGAAAATGTCCCTGGGCACTGGTGCTTTCTCCAGGTGCCACAATACTGAATGCACTTGAGGGCAGAAAAGGGAGGTCCAAGTCACAGGGCAAGGAAGCTCTTCAGAAAATGAGTTGTCTTTGTGTCACTGGGCTGTATGCTGCTTTTGCCTGAACAATCCTTCTTCTCTCCTCTAGCTAATAGAAGGAAGCAAAATGAACAGCCAGAAGTACTGGCAACCAGAAATGATGTTTAACGTCATGGGCCAAAGCACAAGGTCCTCAGTCACAAACAGTACTATTCTGCTGTGAAAAGGAAGAAAATACTCCTGGGAGGGCTTGGTTCGTGTGCACTTGGACCACTCCACTCTGCAATGCCCTGTGCTGACCCAGAACCACGGCACACACAAATAACCCCCGTCACAGTTTATGCAATTGTGAGAATGAATGAGCTCCTAGGGGACTGCTGAGTCTCCAGTGACACGTTTTGGTTAAGCTAGCAAGAAAAAGAAACCCAGTAAGAGCCCAAGGACAATGAAAGAGGTTGGGACTCTGCCAGTTGCTATAGATAACAACATCCAACCGGCACTTACAGAACCACAGAGTCATTAAGATTGGAGAAGACCATTAAGATCATCTAGCCCAACCATAGAGCCCTCAAGGATAACCCCAAGGGTGACAAAAAGTGTCCTGTGCCTCTTCAAGAGGGGACAACAGTGCCTCGAGGACTACAGGAACCTTCTACACACAGAGACATTTTTCAGGTCGCCCTGAATAAAGCTGGTGAGGTGATGCCTGCTGGGCTGCTCTGATGGGTGACAGCACCTGAAGGCAGCATTTGTTGAAGGCCTTCCCCTTAGGCATGTCCATGTTGCTCCTCAGCTGAGGTTACCAGAGCACCGTGGCTGCAGGAGGAAGGCTGGTGAACAGCAGTGAAGATGTGCTATCTCTTGGCCACAGGGGATGCTTGTAGAACCACAGAATCACGAACATTGGAAAAGACCACCAGGGTCATCAACCACAGAATCATGAACATTGGAAAAGACCACCAAGGTCATCAACCCATCAGTGATGGAGGAATTCTAATGCTGGGTGTGTTCCCACCATGCTGATAATGGATGCTCCTCTGGTGGAGAAGGATGTATGAGAGAGGGAGGTACGAGTTTGGGCAGAGAACCTTGCAGTGGCAGACTAATTACTGGCTGTTCGTTGAACACAGCTCCAAAATCTCTCTGGGAGGTACCACCAGCCCCAGCAGACATTGTGGGATACCTGCTCAACCATTGGCTGCCCAGAGAGATTTGTTGTGCATTTCTGGGGATATCAACCTGCTTCTAAGGCCCAGGTGAGCTCAGCGTAGTTTGCAGGCCTATCATGGTCGTGTGAAAATGAAGATGAGAATGACTGAAATACAGGGGGAAAAAAAACCTTCCTGGAAAAGATGCTCCTGGGAAAATGCCTGGGATCCCAGTGCTCATCCACTTTCACAGTCACCCAAACTCACTCGGGTCCTGGCAATCCCCTAATTAAACCAAGGGCAAAAGCAAAGAGCAAAGCAATTGTGCACGACTGGGATCAGCAGAGGGTGCTCCTCGCACATGCTGGGAGCCCGAGCGCTCCTGCGTGGCAGATCCCTGCTGCAGCAAAGTGCAAATTCACTCTGCCTAGATCTCCGGAAAGCAGACGCTCATCCCAACCTCTCATTGCTTCTGCAGCAGCCAACACGCCCAGGGATCCCATAGGAGCAGCATTTCAATCCCTTTCCTGAAATACCCAAGGGCAGAGCAGTGCAGGCGGCTCTTGCTGCCTCCCCACCTCCCAGCACTGACGCTTGACCACAACAAGTTTGCAGCGGGGATCTGGGAGGATTAGGAGCCACATTTAATCTTCCCAGAATAACTAATCCTCTAGAGCTGAATAAACTCAATCTACACACAAATGCAGCCCGTGGTGCTGGATCCATGTCCCCCAAATCCATGTCCCCATTTACCTCTGTTCTGGTTGGGATTTTGGGCAAGCAGGAGCGTGTAGCTCAGACCAAAGCTCAGCTCAGTTCTGCTCCTTGAGAGATTACAGGATGGCTAAAGCAATATTTGCAGTGCTTAACATCTATGCTGTTAGGAACAAATAATTTCCCATTCCCAAATAATTTATTCGAGCCCATGCTCAAAGGATATGAAATGAAATGCCTTTCAAGCAAGGGAAATGTGTGAATTCTCCCAGAGCAGCACGGAAAAGGGTGCTCCAAATCCTCCCTGTGCACCCCAGTATGCTCCAAGCAAAACCATTAGCTATGCTCCCTCTGCTGGTTTTTCTGCCTGGCAGTGCCAGCTGTTAGGAAGTCATAGAGTCAGAATTAGGTTGGAAAAAAACACTGAGAACATCCAATCCAGCCATCAACCCATGCTCAACCATCAACTCAACCCCAGCCATCAATCCATGCCCAACCATCAAACCATGCCCAACCATCAATCCATGCCCAGCCATCAATCCATGCCCAACCATCAACTCATCCCCAACCATCAATCCATGCCCAACCATCAACCCATGCCCAGCCATCAATCCATGCCCAACCATCAACCCATGCCCAACCATCAATCCATGCCCAACCATCAACTCATCCCCAACCATCAGCCCATGCCCAACCATCAGCCCATGCCCAGCCATCAATCCATGCCCAACCATCAATCCATGCCCAACCATCAACTCATCCCCAACCATCAATCCATGCCCAACCATCAATCCATGCCCAGCCATCAATCCATCCCCAGCCATCAACCCATCCCCAACCATCAATCCATGCCCAACCATCAGCCCATGCCCAACCATCAATCCATGCCCAACCATCAATCCATGCCCAACCATCAGCCCATGCCTAGCTGTCAGCCCATGCCCAACCATCTACCCATGCCCAACCATCAATCCATGCCCAACCATCAATCCAGGCCCAACCATCAACTCATCCCCAGCCATCAACCCATGCCCTGCCATCAGCCCATGCCCAGCCATCAACTCATCCCCAGCCATCAACCCATGCCCAGCCATCAGCCCATCCCCAGGACAGACGGACAGCCCAGGGCACTGCTCAGGAGTAAGTGTGCATGGGGCAGGCAAGGAGGTGTCGTTGGGTTTAGCTGGCACCTATGTTTTAGCAGAGAGATCGGTTTGACACTGCTCAAGCTGTGCTATATGGCCAGAAATAAATTACAGAACATGCATGATGTAGAATCTTTACAATCACATAAACAGCGTGCAGCATTTCTAGCATTTTCTGCAGTAACTTTGAGAATAATGACTTGGGAATTTGGGGTTTCCTGATGAATGTCCTATAATATTACCTGTCTCTTATGATAAAAGCCACCAGGAGCTCTCCTGGGTTGTGCTCCCATTCCTCCCCAGGACACTACGATATACCTTCTGGGGGACTTGCTTTTAAGCTTGGCCAGAAGCCCTTAGATCACTGCAAAAGCTCAGGAAAATGGCTCTGGATAAGGCAAGAAAGCAGCCAGAAAGGCAGAGGATGGCTTTTTTGGGACATTTCCAATAGCTTTCTACAGAGTCCAACTCTGAATTTAGCCATGAAATAACTCAAGTTTACTGATGGAACAAAGGTGGGAGGAGTGGCTGCGAGCCCAGAAGGCTGTGCCACCATTCAGCAAGACCTGTGAAGGATGAGAGTGGGGTAGAGGAAAACCTGATGAGGTTTGTCATGAGCAAGTGTAGAGTCCTGCACCTGGGGAGGAACAACCACAGCATCAGTAGAGGTCAGTGGAAAGAATGCTGAGCTGCTGGAGAGGAGCTCTGTGGAGAAGGACCTGGGGGTCCTGGTGGGCAGCAGGTAACCATGAGCCAGCAGTGTGCCCTGTGGCCAAAAAGGCCAATGGCATCCTGGGGTGCATTGCACAGAGTGTGGCCAGCAGGGCGAGGGAGGGGATCCTTCCCCTCTGCTCTGCCCCAGTGAGGTCACATTTAGAATAGTTTGTGCAGTGCTGGGCTCTCCAGTTCAGAAAAGATGGGGATCATCAAGAGAGAGTCTGGTAAAAAGATACAAAGATGATACAGGGCCTGGAGCATCTCCTATATGAGGAAAGGCTGAGAGCCCCAGGGCTGTTGGGTTTGGAGAAGAGAAGGGTGCACTTTAAAAGGTTCTCTGCAGAGAAGAACTTCTGTAAGGTCACAAGTTGCAGGGGAGATGATCTGGCACTCATGTGCAATGTTTCTTTCCAGGAATTATCATGCAAATCCCCACAGTGATGCTCAGCTTTACCTACCCTAGAAAATCACTCTACTGCGTGGCTCATGAATGCTCCTGGAGCATTGCTCAGGTTTGCACAGAACTGCGATGGCTCTGGGGCAGGTCTTTCACAGAATCATGGAACGACAGCATGGCCTGGGTTGCACAGGAGCACAGCGCTCATCCAGCTCCAAGCCCTGCTGTGTGCAGGTCGCCAACCAGCAGCCCAGGCTGCCCAGAGCCACATCCAGCCTGGCCTTGAATGCCTGCAGGGATGGGGCATCCACAGCCTCCTTGGGCAACCTGTGCCAGTGCCTCACCACCATATAGTGGGGAACAGACAAGGGGAGATGGCCCTATCTAAGCAGTGAGGTTAAATGGGTGCACATAAGGCAGACAATTAAAGGACATGCTGGGAAAACATCGGGTCACCCAGTAATTCTAAGCTGGGAAGACCATTCTGCCTTCAGCACTGCACAGCTGAGGTCCTGGGCTTGGCTCATAGGAGGGACGATCCCTGCGATGGAGCGGAAGGCACAGAGGATGCTCACCGTGACGGGGAAGAAGTCCTTCATGTGTCTCCACACAGCGCTGTCCCGCACCATGCGGATCCGCCGCCCGCCCCGGATCGGTGCTTCCCTGTCTACGAACCACCAGGCGGCGTAGAGGACGCTGAGCAGCCAAAAGCGGGTGAAGAGGAGGCCGACGAAGGCAGCGATGCAGCACTGTGCTGGGAGGAAAGCCAGGCGGTGAGCGTAAGGGTGCTGGGAGGGGAAGGCTCACCTGGAGGAAGCTGTTCTGCACAGCCCTGGGATGGAGCCCCGGCCTTCTCTGTGCTCACCGTGGGATTATTGGATCAGTATGAGGGAAGTTAGGAAGCCAACAAATGGTTTTCTTCCCGTCTGCCCCAGGAACCAGAAGAGCAGCTTGACCCCAACCACTGGGAAGCATCCCTTTCTCCAAGGGCCCCTGTGTTCACCTCCTCCATCAAGGCTGGTGGACCTCTCTGGTTCCACATTTTGAATGACTGCCCGTGATTTTCAATTTTTCATCCTCCCATATAGAAGAATTTTACTCTTTATTGATTTTCTTTTTTCTTTCTTATTGATTCTGGACCTTTTCCTCTGCTTGGCCTCATTTTAAACTCTAATCCTGACCAGTAGAGGATTTTCAGTCTTTTTGACATGGTGTCATCACAGATTTTATAGGCACGCTCTATTTCGTTCCCCAAGTCATTAATAACTTGGGACTTTTCCAAGTCATTAAAGACCTTCCTGAGCTGCTTCCAGTCAGTACTCAGCTTTGTCCTCTACCTCCTGCCTCCCTCGTGCCCTGTGTTTTGGCAGGGGAACAAGAGGAGAAAAGTCTGCACGCAAGCACGCATCACTGGGCATGCCAGATCCCACCAAGCCCAGCACTGTCTGCTGCACAGAGTCTGGGAAGCACTGATGCCCACCAAGCTGCCAGTCAAAGCTGTGTCCTCTCCATCTGGAAGCCTTGGTGGCCCTGTCCATCAGAGTGCTATCTGAGTGAGAATGGGCTGAAAATCCACATTGACCCAAGTCCTTTTGCTTCCCCAGCTCTTTATGGGTCACATTAGGATGAGAGACAATGGTCTCAAGCTGTGTCACAGGAGGTTCGGGATGGTATTAGGAAGAATTTCTTCTCCCAAAGAGTGGCCAGGATGTGCAGGAAAGTAGTGGAGTCGCCGTCCTTGGAGGTGCTCCAGACCCATGGGTTTGGGGTCCTAAGGGATGCAGGGCACAGTGGGGATGGATGGGATTGGGCTTGGGGATTATAGAGGTCCTTCCAGCCTTGATGATTCTGTGACTCTACGATTCTATGACTGTGAGTTTTATATTTTGCTCTTCTCTGGGCCCTTATCACAGATCCAGGACCCGTGGCTGAAGGACACAGGGGTGGAGAAGCTCAGCTCAGACACAGATTCATCATCCAGGCCCTCATCCCAAGACCTGGATTTTCATCTCTCTGGGGTTCACAGAATCACAGAATCACAGAATTGTAGGGGTTGGAAGGGATCTCCAGAGATCATCGAGTCCAACCCCCTGCCAAAGCAGGTTCCCTACAGCAGGTCGCACAGGTCTGCATCCAGGCAGGTCTTGAACATCTCCAGAGAAGGAGACTCCACCACCTCCCTGGGCAGCCTGTTCCAGTGCTCCGTCACCTCACTGTAAAGAAGTTCTTGCGCATGTTTGTGCAGAACTTCCTATGCTGCAGTTTCCGGCCGTTTCCCCTTGTCCTGTCTCCACTCACCACTGAAAACAGTCCGGCCTCGCCATTCTGCCCCCCACACCTTAGATATTTATAGACCTGGATCAGGTCCCCTCTCAGCCTTCTTTCCTCCAGGCTGAACAGACCCAGCTCACTCAGCCTTTCCCCATAGCAGAGATGCTCCAGGCCCCTCACCATCTTGGTGGCCCTCCGCTGGACTCTTTCCAAGAGATCCCTGTCTTTTTTGTGCTGGGGAGCCCAGAACTGGACACAGTACTCCAGATGAGGCCTCAGCAGGGCAGAGCAGAGGGGGAGGATCACCTCCCTCGACCTGCTGGCCACGCTCTTTTTAATGCACCCCAGGAAGCCATTGGCCCTCTTGGCCACAAGGGCACACTGCTGGCTCATGGCCGACCTGTCGTCCACCAGGACACCCAAGTCCCTCTCTGCAGAGCTCCCCTCCAGCAGCTCATCCCCCAACCTGTACTGGTGCATGCAATTATTCCTCCCCAGATGCAAGACTCTACACCTGCTTTTGTTAAACCTCATGCGTTTTTTTTCTGCCCAGCTCTCAGCCTGTCCAGGTCTCACTGAATGGCAGCACGGCCTTCAGCCAATCCTCCCAACTTCGTATCATCAGCAAACTTGCTGAGGGTGGCCACCATCCCCTCATCAAGGTCATTGATGAAGATGTTGAGCAAGACCGGACCCAGCACCGACCCCTGAGGAACACCGCTGCTTACAGGCCTCCAACTGGACTCTGCACCGCCAACGACGACCCTCTGCGCTCTGCCAGTCAGCCAGTTCTCAACCCACGTCACTGCCCACTCATCTATCCCACACTTCCTCAGCTTTGTTATAAGGATGTCGTGGGGGACAGCATCAAATGCCTTGCTGAAATCAAGGTAGGCTACATCCACTGCTCTCCCCCCATCCACCCAGCCAGAGACAACATCATAGAAGGCCACCAGGTTGGTCTCCTGGCACCCGCCATCTCCAGCTGCACTCACCTGAGGTCTATCAGAGAAGATGTATATGATGCTCTCACTTCAGACTTCTTTGGTTGTCTTTACAACAACAGATGAGCTTTAATGCATTTTCCTCTAAAAGAAATCGTGCTTTCCTATGGCTGTGCTCATGATGCTTAACCTCTTTTAGGCTTTGGGAGTATTTCAAATGTTTGTGTTGGAAAACAGTATTTTGATAAGCAGACCTGGTTTGGAGGCTATTCTTTTGATAAGTCATCCTGATCCTAAAGTGTTGGGTGTGAAAACAGAAGCCATGTCTTAAAGTCCTGGCATGGTGTGCTGGTAATTCCTACTGGTAAATGGAAGGAAGGGAGGAAATGGGGAAGGAAGGGGGAAAAGAAGGGAGGGAGAGAGGGAGGGAGGCAGGGAGGGAGGGAGGGAGGAAGGGAGGGAGGGAGGGAAGGAGGGAGGGAGGAAGGAAGGAAGGAAGGAAGGAAAAGGAGGGAGAAAAGGAGGGAGGGAGGAGGGGAGAGGAGGGCAGGGGAGTGGAGGTTGGTTTAGGATGGAGAAGCACTGGGCTGTGCACAGCAGCAGGTCTCACGTGCAATGCAGATCTCCAGGTCACAACTGTTCATGCCTGGCGCTGCTCCTTTGAAGAGACGCAGCCACAGCTGCACAGCTCTCAGGCAAAAGAGCATCCAGCATGAAACCAAGCTCCACGGTGCACACAAGACACGAGTGCTGCTTGAGGAACATCGCAGAGGTTGCAGATGTACTGCTCCTAACAGCCAGGTCATCAGGTCTGCTGCAAAGCTGTGCAATGCCTCTTTTTATCACACTGTGCAAAGCTCAAGGTATGCCCTGCAAAGTGAAGGCGTTGTTCTGGTCCATATCTATCTACTTATCACCCAAGTGAGGCATTTATCTTGCATTACATAGTTATTAATTCTACCCTCAATTCATTTGTGGATGAAATTAATAACATTTGCTCTTTGATTCAGCTTTTTTTTTTCTTTCTAATGCAGAGCAAAATTTGCACACGATGACCTTCACTTAATCCAAAGAGTTCTTTTTTGCCCTTGTGAAGTCTTGTGATGCTCTGCGCCCATTCCTGTCCTAGTATGAATCCAATTTGCTTGCAGATGTCTCTGTGTTCTGCTCACAGACCCTTCCACAAAAGCCTAGCACAGGCAATGCAATGCCATGGGTGAGACACTGAGCCTTTGTGGACCAGCAGTGCAGGATTCATCTCCCAAAGGCAAGCAAGGTCATCTTGAGGCCACATCCCTGTCCCTCCTTGCAGGACAGGGAAGAACAGGAGGTCTACAAGCAGCAGTGTTTGCTTATTGTGATGCCACCCCTGCAATCATGGCTTGCAAATGAGGAAAGCCAAGAGTTCCTTGTTTGCCCTTCTCCGGAACAGTGACCATGTCAGAGCTGCCCAGGTGGCAGCCATATTCCCCTTGGCATTCCTACACACAGCTGTCATTTTCTGGGCTACCTGCCAGGCAAACACTTTGAAGAATATGACAAAAGAGGTGTTAAGGCCTTGGCCAGGGAATCCTGGCAGATGTCTCCTTCTGATCCCAAACTGCAAGTTGCTGTAGAATCACAGAGTCATGGAACCATTAAGGATGGAAAACACCTATGAGATCTCCATGTCCAAACCCAACGCACCCCACCGTGCCCACTGACTGTGTCCCTCAGTGCCACATCTGCACTGGAACACTCCAGGGATGGGGACTCCACCACTATCCCACAAGGGATGTGGGGCCAGGTAAGTGATCTGATCTTCTTCTCATCCTCCTGCAAGTCTACACGCAGTCTTGCATGGGAAGCCAGCACCAAATTGTTATAAAAGCACTGGTTTCTGCAAATATTGCCCCATGGAAACCCAAAATTTGCAGGACACAGAAATGGCTTGAGAGTTTATGAGACCTCTGAAGGCAGACATTGCTGCAGGTCTGAGGGAATCATGCATATCCTTACAAACACATCAATCACCTGAAAATAATTATAGAACCATCAAAAGGTGGAAAAAAGACCTCCAAGGTCCAGTCCAACTCTTAACCCATCCCCACCGTGCCCACAAACCCACACCCCTCAGTGCCACATCCTGCAGTGAACATCCAGATAACCCTACACAGGGCTGAGATTGTCTGCAGCACTGCCTGCATTGCCACGGAAGGTGAGGAGAGATCCCTTCAGCCAAAAAGCAAAACCAAACCAAAGGGCCCTCAGCAACAAGGAAAGCTCCATACCCCAAACCTTGCGCATTCTGCTCAGATCAGAAGCTGGGAGGTTTCTCTTTCTTCTTTTCCCTCAAAGAAGCTTGAAGCCAAAGTGAAGTGTTTGGTGGTGGGCACCTTGTGCTAGGAAGTTTTTTCTCTGGTGGAAACCAGGAACCAGAGGAGGATGAAATACGACAGAGGTGGTTTTGTAGGGAAGTGAACCCTGCTGCACCACAGCCATGGACACGCCACATTCGTGCCATGCTCTCCAAGTGAGCTGTGAGCTACAAGCAAGTCCACACAAGGACCATGTCCTATCAGAGACCTCCTGAGCTCAGCATTGCTGCTCCTCTAGAATTTACTCCTTCAGCCTGAAATAAGTGAAACATCAGCTTTTGGAAGGAGATCTTTGTCATTGTAGCAGCCCCTGGGCAGGTGAGTCTTGCAGTGCGGCTCCCAGGAGGATTTGCAAGATGCACGGTGTGGTCCTCCAGGCCAAACCAGAGCCCTTAGCAGAGCCAAACTAAGGCTGTGGACTCTGCTCAGCCACCAAATTTCCTGACACACTGGCACTGCATGTCCTTTGAGCCAGCCTTGCTGATTGAAAGGGTTCAAAGGCTGGCTGCCCATGCTGGGTCTGCAAAGACAGCATGCAAAGAACTTCTGCTCCTTTGATTATAGAATCATAGTATATCCCATGTTAGAAGGGACCTACAAGGCTCAGGTTCTGATGAGTTGGTTAACACAAGCTCAGACCTTAAATTAATGATTCTGCATGCAGCATCTGGAGAGAGACCCATGCCCAAGCCCACGGAGACAAGGAAGGAGAAAAGCCAGGGGAAGCACTAGACCAAATTTGGGCTCCCACTTGCTGGTTTCAGTGCCCTGCAGAAGCCTGGACCCACTGCCAGGCTGTGCCACAGGGAAATGGCACTGGTCTGTGCTGGACTCTGCAGGTGGGAGCAGTGGGGTCCCTGCTCCACACTACACCCCTCCATCCAGCAACCATCAGCATCTAAAGCAAGGAACATCCCCTGGAGGGGATGCATTTGCACAACCATGGCAACAGCAAAAGGCCATACAAACGCCTGGCAGGGTGGCTGTGTGTTTGCAAGAGCCCTTTTCTGGCAACAGAAGCACGGCTCTGAGCAGCCAGTGTCAAGCTCTGCTCATGGAGGGCCTGATCTCTTGACTGGCTTTGGCCTCAAACTGTGTCAGGAGGAAAGAAAATCAGACTAAGGCTGTTCCAGAGAGAGAGAGCAACCTGTGGAAGCTCAGCAGTGGAGGAGGTTTCAGGTTGAGGTATTGTCTTCATTTTGGGCAATCCAAATTTCCCTGCAAAGGGCAGAGCCTGTGTCCTGAGAAGCTCCAGGTTACCCTTTGACCAACGGAGGATTCCTCCCTATTGCCCACTTTCTGGCTTTCAGCTGCTTCTATCAGTCAACCTCATTACTGAAAAGTTAAGTGCCAGCCTGACTTCACTCCAGCAGGGCTAAACCTACTGGGCAAGTTGTTCTGCTGGAAAACACCATCCATTCCCCTTAAATCTTAGATGCATCCATGCTGCAAACAGAACCCAGGTAGAGTCTGGCAAAACATTATTTAGCATGGGCTAAAATTGTGCCCCAGAGCATGCAAACAGCCAAGCATCCATCTGGGCCAGCATGGCCCAGTGCTCCAGTCCAGCAGACACTGGTGCAGAGTCCATCCAACCCCACATCTGTAGCAGAGGTTTGATGGATCCATCTCAGGGACTTAACGAGGCTCTAAAGCACAACTTACACTTCCTGTGCAGATGCCAATTTGGAGACGTGTATCCTAGGATCCTTATGTACCCTCAAACCTGCTGCTGCTCTGCTGGGACACATATCCACTGTTCTGCCATGGCCAAGCACAAGCTTTACACAGTCTTCTACCCAGGTTAAGAAGCCAGCAGGCACGCTGATGGCAAACCCTGGGATGTCACCTTCCAGCTTGGCTCCTGGACAGTTTGCAGATGGCATTCACCCTCTGGAAATTGGCTCTGGATGCTCAGAAGAGGAAGAGGAGCTGCCACTTACCTAGACATAGGAAGCTGAAGACCCACTGGACCACCGCTGCGGTCTGAAGCCTCCTCTGCAGAGGCAGGGAGAGCGGAGCAAACTCAATCTTCATCCTGGGCTCTGCCTGCAGGTCTCAGGAGGAGGAGGAAGCTCAGCAAGTGGTGAATGCAAAGTGCAAAGTCGCCCGTCAATATTTATGCAGCTTTACAGTACAGGGGGTTGTGCAACGTGCAGGGGACTTTGCTGGGAGGTGTCACTGACTTTATGTCAGTGTGACACTCGTCGTGTTGTTGGTGCTGCAAGTGTCCTCCTGCTCTGCAGCTCCCAAAAAGGAAAATCCATCACTCGTTGTGCGACAGCAGCTGCAGGAGAGAGCAGGAGGGAAAGGCGAGGAAGGAGCTTGTGAAGCAGTGTTGGCTGGGGAGGGAGGAAAAAGGCTTTTCAGAGGAGTGGCTTTGCAATTCAAAACGTATAACCTGTAGATAAAGCTCAAGGCTGTGTCAGCTGGGTGTGGAAAGGGCTGGGAGCCAGGAGGTATGCAAACCATGCATGAGTGTTTCACTGCCGAGCACAGGATGCATGAGCAACCTCCTGCCTCCCCCAGGGGATGGATGGGTGGATGGACAAATGGATGGACGGACGGATGGATTGAGATGGATGGATGGATGGATGGATGGAGGGATGGATGGAGGGATGGATGGATGGAGGGATGGATGGATGGAGGGATGGATGGAGGGATGGATGGATGGAAGGATGGATGGATGGATGGATGGAGGGAGGGAGGGAGGGAGGGAGGGAGGGAGGGAGGGAAGGAGGCAGGGAGGGATCATAGAATCACAGACTGGTTTGAGTTGGTATGGGCCCTTAAAGGCCATCTGGTCCCACTCCCTGCAATACACAGGGACACCCATAGCTCCATCAGGTGCTCACAGACCCATCTCCTGCCCAGGATGCAGTTGACTTTAGAGCAGCAAGGGCACAGTGCTGGCTCACGCCCACCAGTACCCCAAGGTCCCTTTTGGCAGGGCTGTTCTCCATCCTTACATCCTTACACCTTACACCCCTTACACCCCAGCTTGTACTGATGCAGACCCAGGTGCAGGCATTGCACTTGGCTTTGTTAAACTTCGTGAGGATGGATGGAGATGGAGGATGGATGGAGGGAGGGAAAGATGGACAGAAGGGTGGATAGGACAGTCAAGGGTCCATGTGCTTCCCTGCATAGACTTACATGGGTGCAGGAGCCTGCAAACACTACGTCCTTTTTGCATTTCTACCTCCCACTGTCTGTACCTTTGAAAAATCACATGCATCAAATTCCAACCTGCAATTTTCTGGTTGAAAAACAAACAAACAAACAAACGAAACTCTGAAATTTGGGGGAAAACATCCTCTGAGAACTGACAATCTGCTCAGGTAAACAAAGGAGCCATCTGAGAATACCACGGGGCTCGGCAGTAACCAGGATACGGAATTAACCATTCACTGGGCTGAACTAAACAGTGGGCTGACTGCTGAAAGGCATCCTTTGCTTCTCTGAGGGCACTGCAAATCCCAGCGCTCGCCGTGGCCAAGGATGACAGAACAAAAGCAAAAACCAGTCCTTGTCAAAAGCAAACGGGAGGTGTGAGCTGGAAAAAAATCCCTCCTCTTTGTCGGGCCCTTGGAACATGCCAGGATGGGAAGGACAGACATCTTTCTGCCTCCCTTTTCTGGACTCACTGACCCTGGGGGCTCTTTTCCTAAAGACACTTGTTGCTTTAATTGAGCTATAATGGGCTCTGATCTTGTTTGCATCTCTCCCCTTTGTCTTCAGGCCCTGTCTGTTCTGGGAAAGGAAAAGCTTTTAACTCTTTAGGCTCCGTTGCTTGGAGACCTTTCCTGCTGAGAAACAACCAGCAATTTCCGAAAGCACCAACAATTCCCAAGGCAAACCAGCAGCAATAGCAAAACAAACCACCCTGCAGAGATCATGGCTGAAAAACGAAGGCTGAAAAACCCTCCAAGATCCCCAACCCCAACCCATCCCACCGTGCCCACCAGCCATGTCCCCAAGGTCCGGGTCCTTTTGGGCTGTGTGTGGTCACTGAGGCACAGTGGGGACAGGGAGGGGACATTCCTTGCAGGGACACTCCTGGGGATGCTTCAAGGTGTGGCTCCCATCCTGCAGGCTTGCTGGGCAGCTCTTTGCCTGTGCTGCTGGGAAGGATCCCACCTGAGCCCCATAGAAGGTCCAGACATTGAGAAGAGCCTTTTGCCCCTAGAAATGTCATGCCAACCCCTGCAGCTGCTGTATCACTGATTCCCTGAGCAGCTTTTTGCTCATGGTTCATTATTACAGTAAAAAATATCATGTTCTAGATTTATTGATGTACAAGTTGGCTCCGTGGAAAAGCTGACCAAGGCTCAGCTGGGTAATAAATATTGATGTCCTGCTCTGTCATGGGCATGCTATTTGCCTTTTGTATCTATGTTTCCTTAAATCAGGAGAGAAAAATACTTGGAAATGGTTTTGAAATCTTCCAAAGCTTGAAAGGGCTCAGAGGTTTCCAGTTAGGGACAGGGATGCAGCTATTGCTGTGCATTGGTGAAACCACACCTGTGCTTTGTGCTACATGGGAGCAGAGCTCTCTGCACTATGGGGTCTTTCAACAATTAGATGTTCTCTGCATAACTGCTGCTGGAAATATAAGCTGGTGCTGGTCACAGAAGGGGAAGATTCACACTTAGGGGATGGGTTGGATGGGATGGGATGGGATGGGATGGGATGGGATGGGATGGGATAGGGTAGGATCAGAGCCATGGAGATGTGATACTGAGGGATGTGGGCAGTGGGCATGAGGGTTGGGAGAGGGGTTGGGGCTCCTGGAGGGCTTTTCCAGACTTCCTGACTCTGTGATCCTATAACTGAGATGGTGATTCTCCCATCCCAGCTCTCCCGCGTGTTTCTCTGATTGCTTTCACATCTTTCTCCTGTTCTCTGTGCTGACTTGGTTTGGTTGTGGGGAGGCTGGAGGGGATCATCAGTGAGATACCACTGAGCTGTGATTCCATGTGCTGATGACTCCCAGTGCTGCTCACTCCTCCTCCCTGCAGTCCCATGGCAGCACCTCCAGGGGAATTTGTCTGCTGTTCCATTTACTCATATCACCCAATTCTCAGTCACTGAAATCTCATTTTCTCACCATTCCTCCTCCCACACATGTGTTCCATGGTACCCCTCCAGTGACATTCCCCTTGGCCTTTTCCTTCTCAGGTATTTATAGTCAGTTATCCGATCTCCTGTGCTTGTATTCAGCTCGGGAGCATTAAGCCCTTTAATCCCTCAATAGGTCATTCCTGTAATCCCTTTATCAGCAGCCCTTGTGATTGGGTTGATCAATGTCCATCTCCGAATGCCAACCCTTGAAGCCCTGGGTCACCGAGCTGCGGGTTTTGCAAGTCATCCAGCTTTACACATCAGCATACTGGGGTGACCCCACAGGACCCCATACCCACAATGGAGCAGTTTGCACGTGGGGAGCTGGCTGTGCTCCGGGACCAAGGACCTGAAGGTTTACCTGCAAGGAGCGATGCCATGACACGCATCCAGTGGGAGGGAAGTTATCAGGAGGAAGCTGAAAGCGTAATTGCAGTAATTATCTATTGGTTTCTCTTTCCTGGAGGTGCCCAAGGCCAGGTAGGATGGGTCCAAGGCGGCCTGTCGGATGGGTGGCACCCAGCCCACAGCGGGAGGTTGGAACCAGGTGAGCCTTGAGGTCCTGTCTCCAACTCAAGCCATTCTATGACCCTGACTATGATTCTATGATTCCTCTTTCGCCACTGAGTTCCATTACGGAATTTCATATCTACACAGTTGTGTGTGACCACAAAATGATTTAAGACTCAAGAATCCACAAAAAATCCTCTGTACGTGGCCAACTGCTGTGGTGCTGTATTCCTTTGCCCGTGGTGCCACATCCTGGGGACCAAAGAAGGGACAGTCCTTGCAGGGACAGCCCTGGTGCAGAGATGATGCTTCAAGGATGTGACTTGGACATGGAGGTAGCAGAGATATTGGATATAAATCTATCTAGAAAGATCTTTCTGCACCTAATCAAGATGGTGTGGAGCTGGATGCACTTCTCCAGGTGCACACACTTCACCTGGTGAGCTCTGATCCGGGTCTGCATTGGAGCCGGGGCCTCATCTCTCGTGAAGCTGATGCCAATGGTCTCTATAATCGTAGAACTGAAGAATATCCTGAGTTGGGAGGCACCCATATGGATCATTGAGTTCAACTCCTGGCTCCACACAGCACCCCTCATCATTATTATTAATTATAATTTTCATATTTAAATCAAACCATCTTCCCTCCCATAAGGTCTTACACTGATCTTTACTGTGCTGCTCCTGTGACATACCATTCTCACTGCAGTAACTGGTGGGTATGTGTGTACGAGGGGAAAACTTGCACACACGGCACATGATGTTGGTTGGTGATCAGAGACAAGGAGCCAATCCCTCTTTGTCAGCAGATTAGCATAGAAAAATAGAAATTTGGAGAGCAGCAGCAGAAGCAGCTTCAGACCTGGCCCAGGATGGGCACCATCAGCTGTAGCTCAACTGGAAGCTCAACATCCCAAATTCATCTGAGGATGCCTGGAAAAGATTCACCAGCTCCTTGTTAATTAGCTACCAAAACACTGCTGTCACATTGTGTGGGGATGCCTGGAGCTATTCCCTGCCTCTGCATCAAGGATGAGACCCATTCCTGCACAGATGAGACCCAGCACAGCCTCCTGGGCATCTACTGAAAGCCAACATTAACTCAGGGTGCTGCAACATTCAGGGTTTGCTCTGCTTTCCTCCCCAATGTGATACCCCTAGCACCATGCAAACCAGCTTTCTTGGGTGGCATCAAAGCCCACTGGGCAAATCCCAAAGCAGTGACAATGGTGTCCTTGGTCATTCCCAACCCAACATCCCAACATGACACCGTGGCCTTTTCCCAGGAGAACAGGGAAAGCTGTTCCCCAACCCAGTGTCCCATCGTGGCGCCATGGCCTTTATCCAGCAGAAAGCAGTTCTTTTCCCAGAAGAACAGAGAAAGCTATTCTCCAACCCATCCCAACACAACTCAGCCAGTGCCCCATCGTGGCGCCATGGCCTTTATCCAGGAGAAAGGGGAAAGCCATTCCTGCTTTCGGCTGTAATTTGAACTCTAAGGCACTTTTATTTTATTTTATTTTTTAACTCCTATGCTTTCCAAGAGAGGTTTGCAGCCAGCAGCTCCATTGGGCTAATTAGAGCTAATGGATTTTACTTGACGTATGCGATTAGATTATTTCCATTGCTGATTCCTGAAAGTGAATGAGCAGCCATGCTTCAGGATTTATATAGAACTACACAGTTCTCTCCGGGAGACACCGAGTGATT